TCAGTGGGGAGACTTTCAAACCACTCATTAGAATGGATTCATTACTCTTTTCACTTAACCTATAGATTTGCCTTGATTTGCTGTCTATAATGAAACATATGTGCTCTTTTCAGAACCTTACGGGACCTCAAGGTCTTTGAAACAAAAGGGCTGGTCTGTTGACTAGCTCCACAGAAGACATACAATGTCCCTCTAAGCAATTTGTTGCTGAAGGTTTCTTGTCTATGAAGCCAATGTGAGTCAGGAGGTCTGACCTCCAGGGTCTGCTCTGCAGCAAGATAATGTGGAAACTGTGTAAATGGTACCACCCCTTTGGACCTCATCTGCATACCAGTGGTTTTTAACATTTTATGAGTCACAGTCCCCTTTTGAATATTTGATAAAAAGTATAAAACCTTCCTCAGTCCAGGAAAAAATATGAACACTTTTATAGGAAGAAGAAAAAAAAGATTAGCTTTTACTTTCATTATGTTCTGTAACTCTGCTAGGTCACCTATGGACCCCTTCAATCCCGAGGTTAAGAAGCTCTTATCTGAATGATACTTGGTTCCCCGCACCCCCCACCCCCAGCTGATGCAATGCATGAAGAGGACTTCAGAAAATTATTTGTAGTTAACACTTTAGCAGATACTATACCTGCTATAAAGCTTTTTGCTTTGTCAAGAGTAGAGCTGGGTCCAAGAATACAAGTCCAATAAGTGTGTAGATTTCAGTAATGAAGGATGGCCAGGAAGTCTACCATTATTAAAGAAGGAAAGAGAAAGGAAATTTTGTGAAAATAGATGGCCACGTTTAAAAAGAATAACACATGAATATTTTCATGCTCAATTTTTTAAATAAAAATTTCAGAACAGGTATCAAGACAGAAAATTTACCTTAGTCCCATTGTTTAAACACAAGCTCTATTAATACTTTACCACATTTCTTCAAGTCATGTTTTCTGTATATACACATACACACTTTTGTGCATATAAAACATGCATGTATATAAACACATCATGGACTTGGTTTTTAATCCTGAATGTATTATGTAACCTTGAGGTATATTTACCATATAATGTTATCCCATACTCTACATAAGTACTAGTAATGCCTTTATAATATTCCAATTTGCAGCTGTACCACCCACATTTACTTAATTGTTCCTATTTAGATAGGCATGTAAATTGCTTCCAATGTTTTGACATTGTAAGTAATACTATACTAAATATCTTTGTATATGGAACTTAGTCCAGATTTCAGGTTGCTCTCTTAGAAAAAGAGTCTCATCAGTGACATTACTGGGATAAGTGTGAATGTTTCAAATGTTCTTGATAACTGGTCAAATTGCATTCCAGGGGGATCAAAGCAATTTATAGTCCCATGAGTTTACTCTATTCCCTGTCACATCCCAAAAAGAGTATATA